CCCCCCCCCACCTTGTTTGGGATTATCTCACTACATATCCCAGTACCAGTGCACCTCCCTCCTGCAATATGCTCACGCTCCAGCCTCAAGAAGTCCCCAAAGTCATAATCTTTTCTTTTTTCAGAGTTGTGTCTTAAACAGATACTTTATTGATGTGTTTAGAAAAGTGGAACTATAAAGGGGCAGGATTGCCACCTCTCACGACCCCTGGCAACCAGAAAGTCAGTAGAAAGTTGCATATACATTTTTTGTACACATATTCACACACATTCTCTGAAGACTCCCAAGAGGAAAAGCAAAAGAAAGTGATGATAGACACTAGAAGTGGAGGTGGGGTAGGAGGAGAAGAGTGCTTGTTTACAGAAATTTCCCCACTTCTAGCCTCCATCTTCAACAGCTCTCAACTTCTGGCATAATAGGGATATGTAACATAGTGTCAAAGGAGAGCTGGTGTCTGGGTGGAAATGTGCAATGTGCATATCTGTGTGTGGTTTAGGAAGGCATAGTATAGGGTTGTGATCCAAGAAGTGGAGGTGGAAGGAAAGGTTTTCCTGTGGTAACAAAGCAAAAGGATGTGTGTGGAAAGGGGTTGAGATGATGATTCTGGGGAGTAGGTAATTCCATTTCACCTTCTTATGGGGCAACATGGACATGGACACGGTGCCAGGCATTGCTGAGCACACCTCGCAGGTTCCAGATTGGGGCCACGGTGTCTGGTTGCACATTATAGCTGTCATCTACAGCTTTACAAACAATGTTCAATTCCTTTCTCCCAGCTGGCACAGGGGCTTGCAGCTGCCATAGTCGCCAGGCCCAGGCCTTTCTGGGACGCTGTTCCTCTCCATCCAGCTCTGCCACGTGCCAGGTTAGGCCCCCATCCAGAGACACATCCACCCTGACCACAGCCCTCCCACCACCACTCCATGCATAGCCCTTGATAGTCACCTCCCCTGATTGTACTGTCTCCCCATCCTTGGGTTCTGTGATGGCTGACTGGACAGGAAGTTCCTGAATAGATGGAGCTGAGTCAAAATCTACTGTGTCCCAGTCCACAGATGGAGAGAAGCCTTTATAATCCCGCCGCTGCCAGTGACTGTAACTTTCCTCTGGTTCCACACTCACTTTGCCCAGCCATTTGACATGGCGGGCACCCACCACACCAGGAACAACCACTCGCACAGGGAAGCCATGGTCACGAGGCAGAGGCTGCCCATTCATCTCGTATGCCAGCAGGACCTCAGCTTCAGGATCCATGGCCCGAGCCAGAGGGATGGATGCTCCATAGGCAGTCCCTGTGGGGTCTGAATCCAGTCCCTCAAAGCAGACGTGGGCCTCAGTTTCACAGAGTTGGTGACCAGCCTTGGCTAACACATCACAAAGGCGTGCCCCAGCCCAGCGTGCAGTGCTAATGGCCCCGATATTCCACTCCAGACCTCTCACTTCTTTGAACTGAGTCATTTCAGAGCGCCGGTTGCCAGCACACTGCAGAGTTACAGTGATCTCGTGTTTGGGGAACTTGTACAAGTCATCCAGGGATAGGCACAGTGACTGACCCCCAGGTGGCCCTACTACATGCAGACGATAGGTTTCTGGGTCCAGGTTAGGTACAGGCAGATGGTTCCGGGTGAAGAAGATAGGGTTAGGTGTGATATAGTTTTCCGTCAGCAGTTCAGGGGGGGGCTCTGCATTAAAGGGGCGCTGGCTGTTGACCTTCAGGGCTGGGTGACGTACGGGATCATCAATGTAGGGGTCAGAGGTCTTCAAGGTGGAAGGTACCTTGTCTTCAGGGCTCAGCTCCCCAATCTTGTACTGAGCCAGCATCTCACGCACATGGGGCTGGTTATGAACAGCATAGAGGGCCCAGAAGGGCTCTAGAGGACCCCCTGCTGCTAGCATCAGCTTTGATGGCCCCCCAGGGTGTAAGTCCACAAATTCTGTAACATCAAACACCTCACAGCCCAGAGTCACCCAGATCCTAGTCTCAGGGCTGCTGTGAGATCTCACTTCCTCTCTTGTGTATACGTGTGGTGACTCCTGAGTAGCCTGCAGACAACGCAGAGGTAAGGCAAAAAGAAACATAAACAGTAAGAAGGAATCACTCTTGCTTACCCTGACCCAAACCATAAAGTCATGGCCACTGTGAAAGAGAGGTAGCAGATTTCATCTTTACTCTGCATGAAGACAGTATCACCATGGGCTCTGTGGTAATAGCCTGGGTTGCCTGGGGAGCTTATTAGGGCCCCCTTGTTCTGACAGTGAAGTCCCTTTCTTCCCCACTTACCCTGCACCGGTGGTCATGATAGGCCAACACTGCACCCAGGCCTAGCAGAGTCCCCATGACTTTCCATCCCCCGGTGCTGGAGTTATCACCAGAGAAGGCAAGGCTGGGGCACTGGGGCTGAAGTGAATCATCTGTAGAGCAAGCCCGAATATAGAGCCTTGAGGGGGCTGACTTGAGTCTGGAAGAGAGAGAGGTCCTCTTAGCAGCACACTCCTGATCATAGGAAAGGGACAGTGAAGGCCTGAGGTTTACCAGGTTGGCCATTGGTTCCTTCAGTTGGGACTTAAGTTTCTCCAGGGTTGAGTGGAACAAGCAGGTGAGATATGGCTTTCCCTTTCCTCCTTAGTATCCAGTATTTCAACTATCTTATCTGGTAGATAAATGTCATAAAGATACTGGGGGTGGGGAATATGGGCTGAGACACAAGTTCTAGGATGCGATGGCCTACCTGCAGGCCTGTCGGAGATGGGGGATCACAGCCCTGTGCAGCAGCATTGTGACAGACCTGTGGGAAAAAGATTCCAGGATCAAGATAAGGAGTTCTGGGAGGGGATGATATTAGTGAAACTTGAGGAAATGAGTGGAAGGAAGACAGAGGTCAGCAAGGTGCTCTCTGGGCAAATGAAGAGACTTTTTCTGTGGTAATGAGGCCAAAGGAAGGGACTATGTGTGGGGGGAGGTCCAAATGGGTCCTTAGAGAAAACATAAACGACTTCAAAGAGACTGTGCTGACAGGATGGAAGGGAATGGGGCAGTGGGTAGGGGGCTTCTAGAATCACCATCCTCCATTCTCTACTCTATCCACTACAGAGACCAATGTTCAGGGCCAAGGGCCTAAAGGTCAGAAGCCAAAATGTCGACTGTCCAGTTTGCTGGTTTATTATTTCCAAAGTCAGCAGAGGACAAATGAGAGGCAGACCAACTTAGGGACAAAAACATGAAAAAGGCAGTGGCAGCCTAACAGGGTGAACCAGCTCAGATTCTGGGGAGTCGAACTGTTTTGGGTTTGTGAAATGAGCCTTACCATTAACCAGCCCCATTTCCTGGGCAAAATACCAACTCACTCAGAACTTATGTCCTCATCTATGAAATGAGATCTACCTAGCAGAGCGGCTGTGAGGAGCAAACACATAATAACATGGTTTTTGAAGGCCTTTCAGTCCCTTCCTTTCCTTCTACCAACCTTAGGAAAAAAGAAAATTGAACCTGGCTGGGAACTGGACTCCAACCTAGGGTTCTCACCCCTACCTTGTCTATGCCATTCCCGTGAACTCAGCAAATGGAGAAGTTAATGGCTTTGGTGTCAGGGAGTGGGCTAAAGAAGTAATTTTTCCCCTCTCTGCCCTGCAGCAGTTCGTTCCTCACAGCATTGAGCAGCTCACTGACCCCAGGAAGGCCAAATCCAGGAAGAGTAAGAAGAGTCCCAATTGCTGGCGAAATGCTAAAAAGGGGGGCAGGCCGAGAAACTGTGAAGGAGATAGGAACAGGAGCAGTCTGCATTTTACTCCTGGGCCATGGGATCCTCACTCTCCCTCCCACCTGCCCTCAGTCCCAGCAGCCCACTTGAACCAGACGGGAGTGGTCCAAGTAGGACTGACTTGTGGGTAAACTTGGTAAACCCAGTGTCCCAGGTTTGGGAGAAGCAGCCTTCTGCTCCAAAACAGACGCCACCTCCCTTTTGCGGGTGGTGACGCCTCACCCCCCGGGGGGCACTTTAGGTAGGAGGATATGTCCAACTCCAGAGCACAAGCACCCAGTCCAATGCCATTGCCCAGCAGCTGGCACAAGAGTGTCTCGTAGCCAACACACTGCGCTCCTAAGAGGAGCAGCGGGAGTGGAGGTGGTACTGGGTTTTTGTTCGAACCCATGGGGTTCGGAGCACCCCCGGGTCCCAAGGCCCTGGCCATCTCCCAGGTTACCAGTCGTTCCTCCTCCTCCTCCTCCTCTTCCCACTCCCAGTCCCCAGCCCCCTTACCGGATTCGGGCTCGGCGTCCGGCGTCCGCAGGGTGGCTGGCTTACCCGCCCGGCTCCCAGAGACTGCTGGCGAAGGGGCGGGGCCAGCATCGTGACGTTGGGGCCGAGTGAAGGAGCACTCTCGCCTTTCTGTTCATCCCCCAGCTATTGGCTGGCCGCGCCTGCAAGCTGCTGTGCCCGCCTTCTGGAGGCGGAGGCAGGAGGGGTGCCACGAGGGCTCGGAGCTAAGACTGGCTGTTTTTTGTTTCCAATCCCCGCTCGACAAGGAATGGGACTCTCACTGTTGTCCAGAACTGGGCAGTGGAAGGTGACGAGGACTCCAAAGCTTGGGCGGAGAGGTGGGAGGTTTTGAGACGCCCCCGCCCTGCCCCTACGGCTGTGACACAAGGTGCGTTCACTGAGAAGGCCTGGGAATCCAGCCGGCATTCTCCCGGCTGTGAGCTCCACCTCTACCCTGTTTTTGACAAACATCTGTGTTGCAACTAAAACAGCCCGGTTTGCCTTTTAGTGAAAACAAGGTCAAGCGCTCAATTCTCTTATATCCAAGAATAAATACAGAAACGAAGCTTAAATGGTGGTTCAAAGACTAGTTCCCTTGGACATGTCTATTTTCTTCCCAAAGTACAGAACAATACAAATACCGACTTTTTTTTTAGTTAAGCCAATTAAAAAATCATTGTCATAACTAGAACAATATTTTAATACCCCCAAGTATAAAGATTATAATCGCTCATAATCACACAGTGGAGAGCACTAAGAATACGTTTGCCATTATCCTTTCATCCTTTGGTGCAGTACTGAAAACTTACTTTGTTATTGGCTGGCTGTGAACCTGAGGCGAACGTATCCACACTGCCCTCTAGAGGCCAAAAGGTTGAACTACAACCTTACTAAGTGAAGGTCTTCATCTTTAATTTTGGAAGATCATTTCCTCTCCCTTTCTGCTCTCCTAAAGTGAACTAGAGCTTTTGTCAAGAATCATTGAGCCCTGGGGGGAGTACTAAGAGACAGAAGGAAAGGGGAATCGGCAGTGAAAAGGTGAGTTTGGCCCTGAGGGTTTTGGAAATTCCAGCTCAACCGTGTTCAATTAAATCATTGAAGAGGTCTGATGCCCAACCTATCCTACCAGCCTTGAAAATTGGGCTCAGCCCAAGAATACAGAGAAATCAGTTAGGGACTGTCTGAGACTGCAGGATAAGACTTCTCCATAATAACAGTGTCATCTTGTGTGCTCCACACATACTTTACACAATTGACCTTTGAACCTCAACTTTTCTTCATTTTACAGAAGAAGAAACTGAGGCAGAGAGCAGTTAAGTACCTAGGTCAAGGCCACAGCTGATAAGTTGGTAGATGGGATTGTAATGCCAGCTCTGTCTGGAACCAGTCCTTCTTCCTGTACTTCTGCAACCATACCTGATCTTTCTCTGTGTCATTCTCTCCCACCCACCTCCATTTAGACCGTGATGGACTGAAGGGCTTCAAGTACAGTAGCAAACAAGAGCAGATCTAGGAGAAATTTTCCTGTTGGGGTGGAAATGATCAATTAAAAATACAAATTTAGTGCTTTCTTTAACCTTCTTTAGGTCATGGACCCCTCTAAGATACTAGCAAGGCAAGCAAGGCACACTTTCCCTGGAGAAATGCACATAAACTTTTGCAGAATACTTCAAAGGATTCACAAATACCTTTCCTTCCAGTCTCATCAATTGTTTGCCCAGAGGTCCACAGACCACACCCCCTACCCCACCCTGCCCAATATGTATTAAGAGGTCTATAAAAATACGTTACGTCAGATTTGATGAGCTCTCTAGTGGCTTGGGAATAGGAGTGATTAAACAGCAATAAAGCGAATATTTTCCAAATTGGGCTATCTCACTATTCAAGAAAGATTAAAGGGAACTTATAAGGAAGTACGATGACGTAGGAGAGGGTATATTTCTGATTCACGAAAACATTGAATGCCCTTTCTTCCAAATTTCTAGTATCAAATAGCAAAAAAAAAAAAAAAAAAAAAAAAAAAAA